AGAGAGAGAGAGAGAGAGAGAGAGAGAGAGAGAGAGAGAGAGAGAGAAAGAGAGAGAGAGAGAGAGAGATTGCATAGGGCTCGGTGCCAGTGTTAAATATTTCAATCGCAGATTGAGTTGCTATGAAAATGCTTTTGATCCAGACTCCAAAGGACTTTTACAAAACAAGCAATTCTTTAGAGTTGGCTGCAGCACAGTGGGATTCACCGAGGGAGAAAGTCCAAAAATGCTCTGAAGGAGAAAAAAAAAAAAAAAAAAAAAAAAAAAAAAACTTTTCTTACTAAGTGGATTACCTCCAATCTTCATTCTGTTGTAGAAAGTTCTTTTTTTTTTTTTCTTTCATCTTTCAGCACTTTTGTTCTCATTCCAAGATAAAATATGCTATGGGTTTTGCATGTATATTAATTTCTGGGAACATGCTAATTTTTGAGAACTCAATTTAAATCAGCGCGACACAGTTTTCCAATTTAAGAGAAGACAGGCAGTAGCAGGGGGCATGTAGAGGATAACCCAATAATGAACCTTTTGGTTATGAATTCAGTCGGCATTTCACATTGACCATAAAGTGTCTACATCTGATTCTGAAAGCCTGTAAAAATGACATAGGAGGAACTAAAATAACCTAAAGGAAAGAGTCGGAGGCTTTCTTTCAGCATAAAGTAGAACTTTTACAGAGCACACGGCGCAGTTTGTCTGTGAAAAGGACTTCCCGTTCCTCGTAGGATCCAAGATGAGTCAATACCCACTGTGATAGCCAAAAAAGCACCGAAAGAAATACGCTTTGATGTCCTCTGTACACTAAAGCTAGAGCTAGCATCTCATTAGCTACGTTTAGCATAGCGATTGGAAAAAAAGGGGAACACCGCCAGTCTGGCTCTGTCAAAAAAAAAACGACTTATTTCACAAACAAGATACATCACGTTACTTAGGGATCTTAAGGTGAGATTTTGTATACCTATAGACTGACCCAGGCTAGTTGTTTCCCCCCGATTCCAGTCTTAATGCTAAGCTAAGCTAATCAGCCAACGGCTGTAGCTTCATATCGAATGGTCAGATACTAGGGTGGTATCAATCTTCTCATATAACTCTCGGCAAGACAGCTAATAAGTGTATATCCCAAAACATCAAACATTGAGACGAACGGCCATATCATGAGCGATCATGAAGCCTTAAGCGATTACAACGGTTTCCCATAAGCTTTAGTTTTTAGACTGTGAACAATTTGAATATGTTTATTTTAGGTTTATCTATATCTATATCTGTAATGCAATTATACACTAAGGGATTGTTTGCATTTGCGTGTATGTTAATGTTAACACAGATGATGTAAGATGAGAACTAGAAGTGAAAGCATAAAGTGGAATTGTATTTTGAACACTGGAACCCGGGAGAATACGGACTTAATTGTCAAGCTAAAAACAAACTGCGGATCAAGTTAAATCTTTAAACCCCCCCCAGTCTCTAAACCCGTTAATCTAAACTAATATCATAATCAGGCGTGAGCCAAAAAATTATATTTATCTCGATCACATTCACTGTAAAAAAATATATTCAGATCCGTGATTACAGCGGCTCAGATGAATCGTGTATCAGTGTTGGCTGTCCAAAACCAAAACGTCAGCTGTTCACTTTTACAGAAAATGTACCGTTTACTTCCGTCTCAATAAGGTCCTTTCCATCAGACATGTCAAATCCACTGCACATCACTTGTTTTTGTTTTTTGATGCAGGTGAGTCGATGAGTTGATCTTCAGTACGTCATGGGTGCATTTACACCTGGATTTTATTCATTCTTGAGCTCGCAAATTAAAATCTGATTACCCCTTGAAGCGTGTTCGAATCAAAGGGAGAACAATAAATTACTGGGAAATGACTCCTCCCCTCCATGTGCTCCTGGAGAGCATGCTGCTCTGCAGACGAACCGTTTCACCTCTTCATCAGTATTCTGGGTCTGATGTGGTACAGCTGGTCGGATAGACAGGTAACGCCTGTGCCCCGTCCCAGAGGAGGAAAAATAAATGAGAAGAAGCGCGGCAAAGGCCCTTAGAGAGCTCCCCTTATCCTCGGCACAGGTATTTGACCAATACAAAAGAGCCTTCTGGAAGCGGTTAGAATAAGCAGCTCTGCAGCATCCCTCATCATCCTTCCACACCCTCCTCCGTCTAGCATAGTCACGAACAGTGATATGTCAATGCTGCTCCGATGCTGTAATTCAACATTTAATTCTACACACTTGTGATTCTTTTCACCAACTGTGTGCTGCAAGCCCAAATTCTGTTTCAGGATCACGCTGGGTAAAAGCTTATATGTTGGACGGCAGATGTATTGGAATAGTTTAACAAAGACTGCAGAGCTCCAGTACTATTGACAGTGAATAACAGCAGAGGAACATTGAAGCACCAGAGACCATGGCAACGTTGAACATCCACCAAGTGAATTCTTGTAATTTATACTGGTCAACAAAACTGTGTGGTAACTGTTATTCTTGTTTAGGTCATGACACACACTCGCATTCAAACTAGAACTCGTTTTCTTTGTGGAAGGAAATATGAAATGTATGATACTGCAGCTGTTGTGCATAGAAAAGAGGAGGAAAACATTTTTGGACATATTTGTGAAGACTGATTTAAGGGAATAGTTCAGCTAAAAACAATATAAATTGTAGTACTCACGTCCCTATGGACCCAGAAATAGTTTTCTATCAAATGGCATTAAGAGGAGCGGAGCAACCAAAAAATGAAAGCCTGTCAGCAAAAACCAATGTTGGTGGAGGATGAAAAATAAAAAATATATATAAAACGTCCCAAAAACTTTTAGAAAATCCCTATGTAGCAAAGTGTCTTGCATCCATTAGTGGGCTCGTGTAAATCTAAACCAGGCGGCAACCTCCGGTTCTGCCGAGTGAAGCCAATGAGGAAGTTTCTTGAAACTTGCATTCTGTCTACTCGCCATCAGGGGGCGACTCCTCTGGTTGCAAAAAGAAGTTTGATTGTATAGAAGTCGATGAGAAAATGACCCACTTTCCCACTTGATTTATTACCTTCATTGTGAGTTTATGGTCTCAATGGCTAGTTTCAAGTCTTCTTCAATACAGCATGATGTTCATTTCGAGTCAAATAGACCATAAAGTGTGCTTCAGGGCGGGCTTACTGTGATTGACAGGTCGCTGCCGCTACCAGAGACGTACACGTCGTCACTACCTCACTCCTCCGCATTCCAAATATGGTAACTTCTGTTCATTGGTAACAAAAAAAACATGCCGATGGCTGTAATCGACGAACTTGAGGCTTCAAAACAGCAGTCCACACACCAATGGGTGACGTCACGATGACTACGTCCACTTCTTATGTACAGTCTAAGATCTGAACACAACTATGCATGTGCACAAACCACAGGTGGATAAGCCAGGAAATGCTTTGTATAGCAATAGTTTCCATGACAGGACGATACGTTGCACATATAACCTTTTTTGCCATCTTTCGTTCCTCCATCAAAGTCTGTTTGGAATGATACGCCTTCATTTTTCGGGTGCTCCGTTCTCCTCAACGCCCTTCGATAGCAAACGTTTCCTGGGTACTTAGAAAGTGTAGGGAGGCAAGTACTATTTGTAATTTAGTATGTTTTTGGCTGAACTATTCCTTTAAGATGTCCCTTTAATAGTTTACCAGACAGTTTTCACACACACACACACACACACACACACACACACACACACACACACACACACCTACCCCCCACTCACCTCTTAAGCTTGGTGGTCTTTGAAGGAGCAGAGAGCGGTGCTCCCTGGCCCATAAGATGCAGGATTAAGTTGTTTATGGAGCTGGGCTGTTATCACACAGCACATTAACAAGCTAAACACTCAGACATTAGTCAAAAGGACACACATGCACACACACATGAATGAAGAGAGGAGGGGTGAAATGCGCTATGAGGCCGCGATAAAGAGATAGAGATTTGCTGGTGGCACTTATTCAGGAGAGAGTTCCAGGCGGCTTCTCAAAGGCTCCATGGGGTTTGAAAAGAAAAAGGCTCCGAACGAACGGGGATAGTCATCTGTGTAAGACTGTACATATTAATATCCAAATCCCAGCAGTGCTCCAAAAAGGAAACTCATAATCAAGCCGAGATATATCACTCAAAACAGATTACTCCCACATGTTTGGAGACTCAATCCGAGACTAGACGAGAAGAATTATTCTTTTGTGTTGTGCAGGATCCCTGGTTTCCTTGAAAGGCACTCGCAAACTAAATGTATTATTATTATTATTATTATTATAACAATTACAGGGGATGCTGGTGAGCAGAATAAATTGGGATATGGCTCTTATTCTCGCCTATTTTCTTTGCACTTACTCTGCTCTACATGCTACAGCTCTGGTTGCAGCAGTCCGTCACGTCACTGTGGGTTTGTCTGCTTGTTCTCTCACTGATCAAAGAACAGAAACTCATCAGTCTGCACTCACTGAAGATTACCCTGGATAAGACCAGGAGGATGATTAAGGTATTACTTTTCAAAACTTGCATTATTTTTCCTTGTTCCTGCCATTACGCCGATCAGTTCTAATCATGATTTATGTCACCGTACAATTACGTCCCTTTCCCTTCGTGGCTCCAAGGAAGATGACGTCGGTCTAACGTCTGTGTAACTCACCCGTTTAAATTCTATTAAGGCTTAAGATTATGCATGAGGTCGCTGGCCGCAAGCAGTTTTCAAACTCAGCTCCACCGCTGAGCCACCCTCTTTGCCAATTTTTGGAGTTAGGGTGCGTCGTCCCCGCCAAGATGTCGCCGGCCGGAGGCACCCACTTTGAGCCTCACAACGGCTCTTCGGAAACCTGTGAGCTTTCCACTCACGGATACCGCTCAGTACACTCGCATCACGCGCCTGATTTTTATGGGTTTGAGAATAATTACGCAAGAGTGTGTCGGGGAGCACAGCGCGTATGTAGCAGTGTAGAACTTTTTAAAACCATTTAACTGGTACCATGATCCGGAAAAGAAGCGGCCTACTGATTATACTGCCATTACGTAATTGCCGTAATGGCAGGAACAAGAGCAAAAATGATGAGAGAGAAAGGAGGATGACAATGTTGGGGAGGGAGAGACAACGAGCGCTCAATTGACATCGATGGTTAAAGGGTGGCAGGCAGGGATTAATACCATGCTTTACCAAACAAAAAAAGAGGCTCCGGTGCTTCCAGTGCAAAGGTTATTCTGGAGTCCTGCTTTCACCATTATCAGGTCAACATATGACCACACTCCTGCAAAGCCGATGAAACTCCCATCAGCCGCAACTGTACTTTGTGCTTAGCCCTAATTAGCTAATGCTAGCATGCTAACAAGCTAAACTAAGATGGTGAACATGGTAAACATTACAGCTGCTAAACATCGGCCTGTTAGTGTTCTCATTACGAGCACGTTAGCGTGCTGATGTTAGCATTTAGCCCACAGCACCACGATGCAGCCTGAGGACAGCACGCCTGAGGACTGTTAGTCTTGATCCCCTGACTAACACACTGACACGTGACCGGAGTTTAATCTCACAACTATGAACAACAGACTGTCAAAAAAGACATTTAAATCATGTTCTTGACATTTACGTCAGCGTCTGGTGGTTCTTACCAGTGAATCGTGTTAAAGCGGAGGCTCCTTGTCTGAAATAAAAGACACCAGAAGAAATTATTGCAGTTTTATGAAATGTGACGTTAGCCTTTTCGGGGGGGAACAGGAGAAGATGAACTGTATCACAACAACAAAGGCTGTAATTCAATGGGTGAGGCAATTGTTTTGACAGTCATCTAGTCATTGAATTGATCATGAGACGAGATGCGTCACGATCTGTCAAACTGACAATGAACGACTGATCACATTGTACATTCGCTTTGAGGTAATTAATCAGAGCAGCACATCGCAACGTCAGGGAAAGTAGCAAACAAAAAGAAAAGTGTTTGAAGATGTTTAGCTGCTTCGGATATTTTCCACCGTTCATCACAAATTGTGGAAATGAAACAGAAAGAAACATTTCACATAACAGGAATTCAACTGATGTCAGCTGTCTGATGTTATAAACATCCCAATTACCTTCCACATTCAAACTAATTTATTCAAACCGTACTTTTGAAAACTGGGCAAGCATCTGCTTCAGTTCATTTATGGTTCATTTTGAATTCACCAGAGGATCCCTGTTTTTATTGTTTCAAATTAAACATATGAACACTGTTAAATCCAAGCAACAAAATAACATCATGCTGCTTCTTCGAGATAAAAAAAAAGAAGACGATGGTGAGAAATAGCCAGAACGTTCCTGTCAATGTGCTCAGGTCCAACCCAAATGTTTTCAAGCATGAGAGGAGAGAACTAACAGGGCAGAGGACAACAGAGACAGATGCTCCTAGAGTTTCATTATCAGCTCCGTGTGTGGGACGCCGCGTAGGTTGGCTGTGACAGAGCACCAATCAGCTCTGATTAATATCCCCCTCGGTCCAACCAAGCCAATGACATCACCGCTAATAAAGTATCCTTGTAAGCCTCGGCCTCCCACCCAGAGTGCATTGCAACAACTGCGAGAGGAGGAGTGGAAATCAGCGGGACTGCCGCAGGTATCCGACATACAGATGCTGTTGTAATTAAAAAACGCCCCCCCCACCCACCTTTCTAAACAAGCGATTCAAAACACACACACTTAACCTCAAACTCTCCTTCTGTACTTAGCGAAACACACACAACCGCCTGTCGCACCACCTCACAGCTCCACCACGCGCCACTGCAGCAAAAAAAAAAAAAAACATGTGTCAAAGTCAAACAACAGCCGGCATGAAGGAAGGCCGCTACGTCGCCCCTCTGTCCCCGACATCCGCTCTACGCAACCCGGGCCCGTTTAGGCCTCGCTCCGGGCTCCGGCAAAAAGCACAGAGCAGAGCAAGCAGTCGTGCAGTAAATGACTGGCTAGCCTGGCCTCTGCTAATACAGCACCAGTTAGTTCCTACTCTAGGTTGGGAGGCAGCCGGGGGAGTAGGGATCAGATGTAATCACCTCCCAAGATAGAGCTGGGAGGCAGACAGGGGGAGGAGGACGGGGAGATGTGGAAAAGAGAGAGTGTGCTATGCATGGACTGTATTTAAGAAATGAACCGTCCTACAACCAGATGATCGGCGGTTCGATCCCTCGCTCCTCCAGTCCATGTCGATGTGGGAAAGACACCCAAAGGGCTCCCGTAAGCTGTGCCTACGGTGTGTGTGAATGTTGCGCCAATGGCTAGTTGGTCCTGATGGGCAGGTGGCATCTTGCATGGTAGCCATCAGTGTATGAATGGGTGTGAATGGGTGACTGACGTAGTGTTAAAGCGCTTTCAGTGGTCGGAAGATTAGAAAGGCGCTTTACAAGTGCCATTTACCATTCACATAGTCACCGTGATGCCACCCGTTGGATTGTGGACTACTGTCTTGAAGTCCAGCATTTTGATCGTCGCCATCTTGGTCTTTTCCAACCAGAAGTGACAGGAGAAGGCGGAGCTAGGAACAACCCAACGCTGAATACGATTTTTAAGCTACCACAATGTTAGATTTAACCTTCACAAACAGAAAACACACTGTGAAAGAGCTAAAGTTCGAAGACAAGAACACGGACAACTCAAAGACCAGACGTCGTGGTAGTGACCGGTCAACGAAAAACAAGGAAGTCGACTAGAGATTGAGACCATAAACTCATGTTTACAACGATTACTGATGTCATAAAACAAGTAAGAAGTAGGGTCATTTTCCCATAGACTTCTATACAATCTGACTTATTTTTACAACCAGAGTGGCCACCTCCTGATGGCCATTAGTAGGGATGCAAGTTTTGGGAACTTCTGCTTTGGATTCACTTTTCAGACCCCGATGTGGTGAGGTGGTACAATCTCGCAAAACAAACCCAGTCTCACGCACATGTAAACCAGCGGGATGCAACTTGCGGAGACTTTCTGTACCAGGTACAATAATGGCCTGGAGGCGTGTGTGTGTGTGTGTGTGTGTGTGTGTGTGTGTGTGTGTGTGTGTG